GGCCGCCGCGAGACCCGCTCTCGTGGTGGCCGCGGTTTTATGCTTCGCGGTTTCAAAGTGGTTGTCACACTTCATCTACAAGACGTTCCGCTACCATGACTATAACCATGCTCTTGTTTGAGTTTCTATACACACACACATATATGTATATGTGCATATGTACGATGGTGGTGGACCTATGACATACAAGGCTCATATTCAATCATGCATGCTCATGATGTATATAAGAGGTGTATATTACAATGTGAGTTGTCCATTTAAATGGTGCAAATTCATATATATATATATATATTTATGTGTGTGAGAGAGAGAGTAATATATTGATGGTGAATTATTACATATTTATATGTGATCAAAGTTAGTATTAATATATTCAGTTTAGGCTGTTTAGCTATTTATATGTATGAATATGTATTTACTATATATATAATATGTATGTATATAATTTAAATATTAGTTTGGGCGTCCACATCCGCTTTCGGCCGTATTTTTTCGGGCCTGGCCAACTCAGTCGGATAGATAAACGGGGACGGGCTCGTACCGGGTATCGGATCTCAAGATTTTTTTATACCCTAAATTGGTAAATTTAATTTCTAATTTATTTTTATAACATGTTATTGATATAAAAATTGAATAGGAATAATATTTTTTTTTAAATCTAATAAAACTATTGAAAAATAAGGAATTATTTAGAATTTAAATCGATTTCAAACGAGAACGGAATAAAATAAAATGGAATCTATTATAAAGAGAAAATATATAATTATTTCAAATTAAACCTGAAGGTAAAGATAATCAGAAACCAAAAATAACCGCAGCTAATCAAACTTTCGATTCATATATATATATATATATATATATTGTTTATCTTAATGATTGGTAAAGGGTCTGAATCATTTGGTGCTGACGTGGCACCTCCCTTCAATTGCTAATTCCTTTAAACCGAAGCTTACGTCTTTTTATTTTCCCCCATCTCTGAAGAAGACACGAAGTTCATCAGAGTCCATCGCATTTCCTCGATTCTTTCACTCACCAAACACACCTCTGTAATGTTTTACTTCACGATCTGATTTGTTCCTTCAATCGAGTAGCCGAGGTACTTGTTTGCGAAGAGATCTGATTTCAGAGCTACAGTCTCAGCCTCTCTAATTTCCCCTCTTTCGGATTTTCGATCTGTTGATTCTTTCTCGAATCTGGGTTCTGTTTTCTCTTGATCGGATTTGTTTTGTTCTGGTCGGATTTCGGACGTGGGTTTTCGATTTCTTGGGAAACCCATGAAGGAATCGGATCTAACCACCGAACCCATCGCTCAGAATCTGATTAAGCTCATCAGCAATGTCTGCTTCTCGGTGTTCGTCTTCACGGTGCTCATATTTACAGCAATTGCCATCACCTATCAGCCTCCAGATCCATGGCTCGAATCAGCTCCTGCGCTAACGAAGCTCCTCACCGACACCGAGAACGCGACTTTCAAAATCGACAGCTCGATCTTCAAGACCGGCGAGGACATCGCCGCATCTCCGGCATTGTCTCCGGCGACCAAGACAGAGCCCGTCACGGAGGCGGTGATCGAGGAATCGGAGGAGAAGCTTGGAAATCTCACGGTGAAATCGGCTTCTTCGGATTGCGACGAACTAAAGGTCGTGAATTGCTCGGATCCGCGAGTGTTGATTGCGGTTCAGAGGTTCAATTTGAAGGTATTCAAGTCGATTGTGTTCTTAGAGTACCAAAGTCCAGTGAATGGGTCGAACCCAGATGAGTGTGATGTTGCTTGGAGGTTTAGGAACAAAAGAGAGAAATCTTGGAGGAGGTATAGAGATTTTAGGAGGTTTAAGTTTGGATTTGGTGAGGATTGTACTTACAAAGTGTTTCACGCAAGTGGTTGGCATTCTGGTGTCAATGCACGTAGGCCTCGGGCTCGATCAAACCCGAGTAGATCCAAAGGTAGTCCTAAGGTTGCACCAGTGGCTCGTGATCGTGACCCTGAGATCAATGACACAATCCCGACTCTCGGGTCGGCGACGAATTTCAGGAAGGGGAAGTATTTGTATTACTCGCGGGGAGGGGATTATTGCAAGGGTATGAATCAGTATATGTGGAGTTTCTTGTGTGGTTTAGGGGAAGCAATGTTCTTGAACAGGACCTTTGTGATGGATTTGAGCGTTTGCTTATCCTCGAGTTACAGCTTAAAGGGTAAAGACGAGGAGGGGAAGGATTTTCGGTATTACTTTGACTTTGAGCATCTCAAGGAGACAGCTTCCATTGTCGAGGAGGGCGAGTTTTTAAGAGACTGGAAGAAATGGGATCGGTCCCATAAGCGGAAAATCCCGACCCGGAAGGTGAAGACGTATAAGGTGTCGCCAATGCAACTTAAGAAAGATAAGAGCACAGTCATATGGAGGCAGTTCGATGCTCCTGAACCCGAGAACTACTGGTACAGAGTGTGTGAAGGGCAAGCTGCAAAATACATCGAGAGGCCGTGGCACGCATTGTGGAAATCAAAGAGATTAATGAACATCGTCTCTGAGATAAGCGGCAAAATGGACTGGGATTTCGATGCGGTTCATGTTGTGAGAGGAGAAAAAGCTCAGAACAAGAAGCTTTGGCCTAATCTTGACGTAGATACATCGCCCGATGCTCTTGTGACGAAACTTAAAGGAATGGTTCAGCCATGGAGGAACTTGTACGTTGCCACGAACGAACCATTCTATAATTACTTTGATAAACTCCGGTCTCAGTACAAGGTCCACTTGCTCGATGACTATAACTATCTGTGGAGTAACACGAGTGAATGGTACAACGAGACCCGTCTCCTGAACGACGGGAAACCAGTCGAGTTTGACGGGTACATGAGAGTTGCTGTCGATACCGAGGTATTTTATAGGGCAAAGACACGCGTGGAGACGTTCTATAACCTTACAAAGGACTGCAAGGATGGGATCAATACATGCTGATCAGGTTGGAACCTCTTCATTATCATATGTTTGATTTACTTTTAAGAAGAGCCATTTCATCGGATATTGTCCGAATCCGTTGTGTTCTCTGTTCTGTTCTACTAGTGATTGCCATTTTTTTTTCGGGTAGAAGAGTGTATGTAACATTTTACAGTTGTTGAACTTGTTATGGCAATTTGGAAACCAAGGAGAAAAGAGATGCATTCTTTGTATTATATAGCTCATGGAGAAAACCCGTTTTTTCGGTTTGAATTGCGTATGAAATAGGAAAGAAAACACGATCGAAGAGCTTTCCCGAAATGGGTTGGCCAGGTTTACAGGTTTCTACTTTGGTTTGGATGAATGCATTGTCCCAAGAGCATTCTGGTTCTGTTCTGTGGATGTCTGGTTCTATCCAAGTAAGTACTTTGAAGAGACATTTACTTGCTACTCTGTTTTCTGCATTTGTTGTTGTGTTTGATTGCTCTTTGGTTCATGGGAAGTACGGTGTTCATTTCGGGTTCGGATTCGGATTCGTTTCGGTAATATTTCGGGTTGGGATTCAGCTTTTCTGATTATTATGAGAACCATTCTATAGTTAGATTTCATTTGGGTTTCGGAATAATTTCCTAACCAATTTGTTTTTTTTTTTTATATCGGATTCTGTTTGGATAAATTAGAACAAATTATTCGGGATCGATTTGGTTTTACAATGCTTTGGAAAATTGAAAGTACGAAACTGTAAATATTATTGTGTTTTTACATTAACATGTGGTTATTTCGATTTTTTGTTGTGATCTAAACCGGACCTAATCTAAACCGGCAACATAATCACATTTAACCGGATAATCAAATTCAGCTGTATATATTTACATCCAATACGTAATTCACATCGAATCGTTGTGGAAGAAAATGTTGTGTCGTCGTTACTACAATTTTTCGAGAAAACCAAATAAAAATTGGATTTTGTTATTCGAAATTTAATAAAAAAATTATGGTTCAAGATGTAATTATCAAAAACATGAAATGAAAAGACGTTAAAGACCCCATTTGGTTCAAATACACATTTGGTCGGAAAAATACACATTTGGTCGAGCAGAGTTTTTTTAAAAAAAAAACATATCCCGGCGCTGTTTTCAGCGGCAGTCGGTAAAAATGGTGACTGGATGCCAATTTCCGGCGATCGAAATCTTTGATAGAGCTCTTTCAGCCACCGATTTTGAGTCTCGCGTCGAGCCGAGCAACTTCCCTGCGGTACTTCGTGGAAAAACTATATCTGACGTTTGGTTTTCGGGAAAAAAATTTGTCTCCGATAAAATCTGATGTTCTGGCCCTCACAAAAATTCTGCGTTTTGTGTTTCTGAAGGTTCTTCGAGGTTGTGTTTGTGACTGGGATGCTTGTTCTAAGTGGAATCCTTCGAATGATGGGCTCGATTATCTGGAGGTTGTTTTTTTTATTTGTTTCTCTCCCTCTCTCGATTAGGGTTTTACATGGGAATTGGATTCCTGTTTGCGGAGTTGCAGTGAACCGAGCTGTTGACTTCGATTTTGTTATTGATTTTGTGTATATTGTAATGATCAAAGTTAATAGTCTAATAGCGTTGATTGGATTTGGATGTATATGAAGGGACATGTAGGATCGGTTGAAGTCGAGGCAATGTTCTCGAGGGTTGCCCCAGTTTTCTATGGTGATATCAGAAGCCATGATAGGGTAATGCTAATTTTGGTTTCCTGTGCTTTTGATTTTGTACCAAACAGATGACTATATTCAATTTTAGGAATGATATCTGAATTTTTCATAATTCTAGCCAAATTCTTTGCTCGCTAAGTGGGAAATTGAGTTTTCCATTTTTAACTGGAATGGTTTTTGGTTCTTATGTGCATCCACCCATTATGTTTTTCTCCGTTCTGTAGGTACCATTACAATTCTCAGAATTTATCAGAATCTGCAAGCAACATAAGAGCATGAAAGAGGGTGGTTCAGGTGTCGATATGAACTCTGGATCTTTAGATCATGATTCCATGGCTCTTGGCTTGGAACATAGTCCCTTGATGCCTGAGGATGTTCTACCTGGACAAGTATACTTAGCACAGGTTCAGCCGATATCGAGTTTTCATTTGCTACTTCTTTTACAGGAATATCAATTGGCTCTCCACTCAAGTTCATGCTATGATCTATTAGAACATAAATGCTCTTCTCTTACTTTTCCCCCCCTTGTGTGAAATCCTAGTTTGTTGAACACATATTTTTCTAAACCAGGTAGGAATTCTGAATGCTGAGAAGGAAGAGAAGGTTCAACTGAAGATTCTGAGACAAGACGTTTCAACAGTCTGTATATTTTATTCAGTAATATATTTACTACATAGTTTCTAATGTAGCTTCCATGATTTTTCTGACAAACTATCTGAATGTTTGCAGCCCAAAATTTTGGGAACAAAATCATTATCTTCTATCAATTTTTGGATGAACGCTGCAGAAGCTCGATCAAGTACCCACTATGATCCACATCATAACCTTTTATGCATAGTCGCAGGGCGCAAAAAGGGTAAAGTCCAACATTTTCTTTTTCAAGTGAAATTTGGAACTTCGGGTAATTGTAATTTTTTATATTTCCATATCATTTTTTTTTTAAATTTGGTGACATCTAAAACTTTGTTGACTTCTTTACCTGAGAATATATTCGTCATTGGTTAGGGATAGATATTTTTTTTTTTATCAGATTAGCTTTGACAGCAAGCTCTTTGTCAACCAGTCATTTAACTTTAATACCATCTACAGTTATCTTATGGCCCCCATCTGCCAGCCCCATGTTATATCCAATGCCTATATATGGAGAAGCCTCAAATCACAGGTATCATTCTTGCTCCTAACATATAACATGCTTCTTGTTTTATAAAATGCGCACAAAAAGCTAAGTAACTGGACCTGAGAAGGGTTTTATAACGCTTTGTATTTATTTCTATTCTATTGTCTAATTAACTGGTCTTTTTTCTTGTCGATTTTTTTTTGTACTTGTCTTTTGTGTAGTTCAGTTGCTCTTGAAAATCCGAATTTATCAAAATATCCGAGAGCTAAACATTCCATGGAGCATTCTCAGGAGGTTACTCTTGATTGCGGTGATGCACTTTTCATTCCTGAAGGCTGGTGAGGATACTCTTGTTTTTCACAAGATAGAATTTCTAACTTCCCATAGCTTGTTTTGTTTTGAGACAACACTTCTTCCTAGGACGTCCTGCATCCTACATGTTAAAATTTTCTCTCATGGATTGTAGACCATATCCATAGTTTATACCTTTTTATGGAAGGGCATGTTATTAGCATTTTGACGCGCTGCAGTTATGCTAGTGTATGAAAAAGGAATTTCTGAAGTATTTTATCCTGGTCTTCCAGGCACTTCTTTGGATTGCAAAGTCATATGTATCATTTATGATGAAATGTGCACATTCCTAGGACCTCTAGTTGATGCATTTTCATTAGATTCTTGGAGATCTTGTTTTGTACGGGAAAAAAGTGTTAAAAGGTTATCTGGGATAATCCAGCTTAGTCATACTAAGCAACAGAGGCTTAGTATGTTAGGACATTTAGTTGATGTCAGTGCTAGCATATAGCATATTGAAGGATAAAGATACCTATGTATTTTTCTGTTTTTACAAATGCTTCTGAATGATAAGTTGCTAAATATAGAATTTTTTAACACATGCTAGATATGTGTGGAAACTCCTAACACTGCATGTTGATTAGTACATTGTTTTATCATCTCATCCATCTTTCTAACCTGGAAATCAGTGGTAGTTCAATTTTTTTTTATTAATGGGAGTTAGCCTTATCTTAGTACATAATTTTGTGGCCATTACTTTATACGTATTACGTATGCAGGTTCCATCAGGTGGACAGCGATGATCTAACCATTGCAGTCAACTTTTGGTGGCAATCAAACATAATGTCTAACATGTCTGAACATATGGATTCATATTATCTGCGCCGGATCATAAGAAGGCAATCCTTGATCATAAATATTGTTTTCATTTATTTGTGCAGAATATCATTTTGCGTTATCATTATTAGTTTTGCCGACTGACTGTTGTTCCTATTTTTGCATGTCTGTCGGCATCTTGCACCCTGTTATAAGATTGATAGACAGAGAAATGGTGTGTAAGTTCATGTCGATGAAGTTTAGTATTCTTCTGCTTTTACCTTATTTATCAATTCAACCAATTTCTATTTACGTGTAACATATGGAAATGTGCAGAATCTGATACTTCCTAAGCCACTGACGGAGCATGGAAGCGGTCAATCTCACATCGGACAGGCAGGTTAGAAGAGGCTGATGATACCCATGCCTAGAAACTTTCCGTCGTTTTACTTACTCAGTCGGTGATGAGATTTGATGTAACAATTTGAAAATGTGTTGATCATTTACTCAGACAAGGGAAGCAGTAAGAACAGTGCAGAAGGCAGGGAACAACAAAGAACTTTGTTGCATGAACTAGATCCATATTCCCTACAGGCACTTCATGAGCTTATTTCCTTGGTCCATGACCATGTCAATGTTGCTGATCTAAGTCAGACTGTGCAGTCCACTTCATCGAGTTGCCATGAGCCAGATTCAGAGAACAACAATCATAAGATACTGGAAGCTGAATTATCCTGTTTAGAAGATGATCGGGTTGCCCATGTTCTTTGGACTCTTGAAGCATCTAGACTACCGGATGTTCTCCTTGCAATGGCTGTGAGTTCACTCTCTATTTGCTCTGGTTGTCTAAATCACTGAAGATGGGGTCTCATTACCTTAGAATGACACTTTCATGCATGATAGTATATATACTTGTGGATAATTTTAATTGTAGGTTTCTGAGAAGAAAATTTTCATCTGTTTCTAGCATGTAATCATCATGTATTTCAAAATAGAGGACCATTGGTATTATCACTCACATCATGTACCTTTTTCAGCGTCACTTCCCGAGAACTTTGGAGGGCTTAATACTTCACATGCTCTCACCAATTGCTGCGGAAGTTTTAACACAGAAATTTGATGAAATGGACCAACAGATTGGTGAAGAAGACAGGTGAGCTGTGAAGCTTATTGGTTGTCTTATCACTTCTCTAAATGGAGATAACTTATATATTTTCTTCACTCTACTTCTTTGTCCCTCCTTTGAATTCTAGGAACAAATTTTATCGGGAATTCTACAGTGCCTTTGATGATCAATTTGCTGCAATGGATGCAATCCTAAATAGGAAAGAATTATTTGCATTTCAGGTATGTACTCGTCTCCTTGTTTCCATTAAGTGTAACAACCTTACAACATATGATAAAACTAGGTACTCGTCTCCTTTTTTGCCATGTTTTGGAAATCTGAAACAACCTTGCAATGGTGGAAATCACAAAATTCACATAGTAGATATATCCATTTTCCTTTAGGGGTGGCCATTTCGGGTTTTGGATCGGATTTGGTTTGGTTATTATAAGGTTCGGGTTTTTGGTTTTATATATTAGATTCGGCTCGATTTTTATATTAAATTTACACTCACTGCCCCTAAAGCTCACCACCTTCCATGGAAGCTGATTTCATTTTGCATTCAGATCTTTATTTGCATCTCTCATTCACGATGCATATCATATGACATGGAAATGAACGAGTTATTTTTGGACAGGCCTTCAAGAATGTGATGGACAAGTACTTGGGGGTCAACAACATCAGTTCATCATCAAGACCCTAAACAAGTCCGGTGGAACGGAACCCCTCGGAAGTCGTCGGTAACGTTTCAGCTGTCTCGAAACTCAGAACGGTAAGTGGGAGACTGTCGTAGGAGTTGCAGTGTTTTACATTTGGAACGGAACTTGATCCGTTTTAGGAGAGTGTTTGATCTTGAAAAACATAAATCATAATTCTGTCTTCTCACTGTTAGTGTGATACTCTTCTGCCCAAAATCACTTATACCCTTATCCCATTTTAGGGTTTTAGATTTGACTTTGATTTGTAGACCAACATTATTTGTAAATCAAGTTCGAGTTTTGCGATTTCATGGTTAGTCACATGATAAAAAAAAATACATTATATATTTATTATAAATTTTAAAATTACTAGTCTAATTTAAAATTCCCCAAAATTGTCTTTATTTTTCTAAATTACAATTTTTTTATATTTATTAAAAAAAATACAAATTATCTTTATTTTTTTTATAAAAATTTGAGTTCGGTTATTTATAGATATCTGAATATGTTTTTTGGATATCGAAAAAATTCAAAGAATACAAGATCGATTTTGGAATTTTATATATGAAATATTTAGATTTAGATTCGGTATCTACTTTCGTAGATTGCCTTATGTTCTTGTAAACCTTGTAGGAAGGATCCATGTTTTGCTCCGTGGATGCAGTGAAAACCTTGTAAGCCTTGTGGCCTTCCCACCAATTAATACATGTACTAAGGTGTTATGTAATTTTTGTCTTTTATAAACATGTAAATTTGTATTATATGTTGGTGGTACAAAAAAATATACATAGAAAGCAAAATATTATTTAAGTTGTATGTAATTAAATATTATATGTCATTGACATCATTAATAATCTTTTGTTTTTGGTCAACATGATTTATAATCTCTTTTGACCAAAAAAATGAAGGTCAAGGTTTTGATATTTGAAATTGGCATATTTAACCTATACTCGATCCTTTTGATGAAACCTAAAAAAAAGGAAACAAAAAACAAAAACAAGATTCGATAATTCATTTTAAACCTAATGGAATTTCGGTTGGGGCTGCAGGGGGGACTATTTAAATCAAAATTGAAAACTTAGGGGCTTTAAACCTAACAAAAGAAACAATTGGGTTCGTTTTAGAATAACTAATGTTTGGGGGTGATTTTCGAAATTGAGAGCCGACCTTTTCAAGTTTTTCTACTGAGTTTCCTGTTTCTTTTATTAAGAACGCTCATGCTTTGCCTGGAACCCTAGCATTCCCCTCTTCCCCTTCAGCTTTAGCTCTCGCTCGAAGTCTGAGTTCTCTTTTGGTATGTATGTGAATGAAATTGTTTCATTACTTGATGTTTCGTATGAGATTTTGTTGATTAATCGCCTGAATTATACTCTCTTGTGGTTTCTGATTAATCTTTCTGCATCCGTTGCGTCTTCTCTGCTAAGACTAAGAATCGAACGAGGGTTTTGATTTTTAGGCTAAGGCTATGTGTTTATTGTTTCCTTGAGAACCCTAGAGCCTGTAGCTTTGACTCCTCCGTCAATCTCTAGTCGCCGTCTCTTCCTTCGCGAATCTCCGTATTGAACACCGGTACGAACGGTTCTGATACGGGCGGTGAATTCCAATACTTTGTGCGGGTCGGATTGGTTTGCCTGGTCTGTCGGTACTTGGATTTTCCTGGGTACTCAACGGGTGCTCATCTCTACGGGACGTGGGCTTTTAGGGTTCCTGTGCATTTTCATTAAAAAAGTTTGAATTTTGTTCCGCACCGAAAGAGCGAATTTCAGGGTTTCTGTATATTAGGGTTAGAACGAAAAGAGGGAATTTTGGGTTTCTGTGCATTTTGTGGTAAGAAGTTTGAATGATGATTCCGCCTTAGGAGGAAATTTATACCTTTTCTCCAGAATATCTTATTGTTCATATTTTGAATTTGGAATTACTTCATGAAACGTTAGACGGTGAGGAAGAACAGAGAAAAAGTAAGTGGAAGCTTGTTTTGTCTGTAGATTGCTCGTGTTACCATTGAGAAACGTGTTAGATAGATGGAATAGAACTTTGGTATTCTCAGGTTTAGTTTGTGTTAAATGACCCTCTCCCTTTCTTCTATGATTGGTTTCCTTGTTGTGTTAACCACATAAATTTGCTTGCTCTGTATTCGCAGATTGATCAGTGAGAAGATGACACTATCTGAAGAAGAGCTCAAAAGGCTTTTCAGGGTCCGTAAGACACTGATGCAGATGCTGAAGGATCGTGATTACTTTGTTACAGATTCTGAAATCGGGATGACCAAGGGACAATTCATTATGAAATATGGCGAGAACATGAAAAGAGAGGACCTTGATGTTCAGAAGGCAAAGAGAAACGATAGCTCCGATCAGGTATGTCTGAATGGTACCAACATGTCAGAATGGTATGGTTTTTTTATAAGAATCTTTTGAAGTATTTCTTCCGTAATTTTCTGTATTTTGAAGTAGATTACATGTTTCTGGTTAACTATAGAGTTTTGTCAAATTATACAATGATTTGGCTTTCTGTGTGTTCTTTTTTTCTTATGCTTGAGTTCTTCTTCATGTGGTAGATCTATATTTTCTTCCCCGAGGAAGCAAAGGTGGGAGTTAAGACGATGAAAACATACACCAACCGCATGAAATCCGAAAATGTTTCCCGTGCAATTTTGGTGGTGCAGCAAAACTTGACCCCTTTTGCCCGTACTGTCATTAATGAGATTTCCTCCAAGTTTCACTTGGAAGTTTTCCAGGTAATTCCTTTTTCCCCCCTGGAATTTGGATATTTGTAATGTTTTTGCCATCATTTTATAGCTTCAATCTAGGTTCGGTTTCTCACTAATCTATTTGTTCTTACTCGAGTGCTGGTCTTGTTTTTTACTCGGTTAATTAATATATATATCCATATATACTTGAAAAATGTTACTGTTTCAGGAGGCAGAATTGCTGGTGAACATAAAAGAACATGTTCTTGTCCCTGTCCATCAAGTGCTTGCATCCGAGGAGAAAAGAACTTTGTTGGAACGATACACCGTTAAGGAGACACAGGTAAACCTCCATGACTCGTGGTATAATAAAAATCTTTCACCATTTTTCCGTCGTTTCGTTCACATAATCTGTCTTAGGCCCTTCCCCCTTTTCATGACGAGAGCATGTTCTCGAACCCACTTTTTCGGGTCATAGCAGTATTATATCGAGAATTTATATACCAGCTCTTGCTCTTTTTCCGGTGTTCTAACATAAAAAAAAAAAAATCATTGCTCGGGTTTTCTTTGCGGATGGCTTTAGCTTCCGCGTATACAGGTAACGGATCCGGTAGCGAGATACTTTGGGCTAAAACGAGGACAAGTCGTGAAGATTATACGTCCTAGCGAAACTGCCGGTCGTTATGTCACGTACCGATACGTTGTGTGATAACTCTTTTAGTTTCCGATGTCTTGTTTAGGGCAAATATCTTCAAGAACTGAGAGTTTGTAACTGAATGTTTCCATGGAAACGGAAACAGAGACAGCTTTTCTCTTGACTAAGACAGCAAATGCTACATAGATGTACAACCTCGTTCACATAATCTTTCCAAATTTTTTTTTAAAGACTGAATCTATTCATGTACAACCTTGATTACTAATAGTTTATTTTAACTTGGGTATACCTATCTGGAATTAATATACGTCCTAACACTAAGAAAATGTGCAAAGAATGCATATTCTCTCAAAATATATTTTTTTACCAAAAAAATATAGATTTTTTTATCTTTTTGACCTACGAAGGAAGTGGATATAAATTCATTAATTGATTTATACGCACTCCCAATACATCTTATCTTGTAGTTTTTTTTTTTTGTTTTCTTTTACTTAGAATAGTATGCAAAATATCCTAATTTGCAAATAAATTCTGTAAAGCGAGTATTAAACATATCACATTTCTTTTAAAGTCTGAAAAAATCTAAATACCCTCTTCAAATATTAATTATATATGTAAATATGCAAGTTTCAACTAATATATTTGTATATTTTTTTTAATGTGAATACACCATTATTTTATATGTACTTGTCCCTACATTGTATGTACAGAGATAAATTCGAACCCGCGACCTCATATTCCATAGTAAATGTTTTTACCGCTGAACCAAGTCGGTCTTTCATAAAAATTATAATTACAATAGGATGGTGTGGTTGGAGATAGATTATTAACATATTGATAATAAAAAGATAAAATGAATAGATGCAATGCTAATGATGGTGGCAGGCAACAATGGTGGTTTGTAAGATTGGACGTCATTGTGGTGGTGCATTAATTAATATAACGAAAATAATAGAGTGAAAATTATAAGGTAACAAAAAAATGAAAATAAATATATATGTTTGGAATATTTTAAACCTTTCCGTAGAATGAAGTAAATTAATTTTGCACATTCAAATTAATTTTTTTTTAGGTTTCTTAGTTTTTAAAAGTGATGGCATTGGGATTGGAACACACGTCCAAATCTAATGACTAATATCAAATATACAAAAGTACAGGTTGGACCTGCGTTCATGGAAGGGTCCTCGAAACAGGGAAACACTTGGAGTGAAGGAGAGGGTTAGCGAGGGTACAAGCGTCATTTCTCAACGCCGGACGTTTAGTTAGTTGAAGAGAGGGGGAGACATTTGGTTATACAGTGAAAGGTTAAACGACCTCAGAATTTACACACGTACATACATAGATACGGTTCTGTATATGTAAACAATGAAAACAACCCTCAATTTACAACATTTACTGCTTTTCATCTACTCCCATAAATCACTACTGAGAGGGCTGACACACTGTTTGTTCATGAGCCTCCAGACCAAACAGAGAGTTTGGAATCGTCATTGTCTTTAAATCTCTCCGAAGGTGTTGGAAGTACAACTCGAATGTCTTGCCACGAACGATTCGATCAACGGGTTCACCATCTCGGGCCTCTCATCCTGAAAAATGGTTTACAGAGATCCTAATCATGTTTCTGTGATAACAGAGCGATGAGATTTGATATTATTCACTTGTTAGAATGCCAAATATCCACCTAAACCATACCCGTAACTACCACGGATGATAGCCTGGGCAGGACCACAGAATTTTGTGCATCCGCCCGACCCATGAGTCGGCATTTTGAGTACCCACCTGACCCAGGAGCCGGTTTTCTGAAATTTCAGAAACTCATCTACCCAGAGATGGGATTGAGTCCATCGGTGGTGGGAAACCGAGGGGGTGAGTTCCAGTTCGGTTTTTGACCAGAGATTACCGAGGAGGTGAAACCGAGGTCGGATATACAGAAAAACTCAGACACCCGACCAGTGGTTACCCCTAGTCATATGGTGCATATTTGCTCAGCCTCGGGATAGAGAGATGGGGGATACTCATACCCGAAAATTGTTGTTCCGTAAAGATGGTGTACTCATCGAAGAATTCCGGGTTACTAGATTTAGACAGTGACTTGAGAGAGAGAGAAAGAGACCTGGGGACAATGGCCGACGCCGGGAAGGACAACAAAGTCTTCAACGGTATCAAAATCGGCATAGGCACGTCCGAGCTCTATAGGTTCCCATGGATCTTTGTCTCCCCATCCAATTAAAACCGGACACTGCAATTTCAAACACACATAAGCTTCCATTCCAAGGAGGAACTAAAAAGCATTATATTTACAATTCCATTTTCCTTTTAAATTACGAGATATGTTAGCTTATTCCTTTGGTTCTCGTTTTGTCTGAAGCGTTTTTGCCAAATCTTTTATGTGGGGTGGGCACGGTCCGGTACCTGAGTTCTTGGGGTACCCGGTCTCGCCTCGGCCTTGCGAGACTCGGGTATCTAAATCTGTGAAATCCTACAAATCCTAGTTGACCATCAAATTTTAACCCGAGTGGACCAAAATGGCCTTTCTGGTCCCAGGGGTAAGATTGTCTTTTCACATGTCCAGCACCGCGGGTAATTGTCAAGCAACGGCAAAACCCACACCCAAACCCACAGTTCGGGTTCCTTGTTTCGTCCCACCTGCGCTCGGCCTCGTTAGCTGCCGAGTAACCGCATACCAGGTACTCGCAGGTTTGCGGTTAATGGGTATTAACGCCCACCCAGTGATCATTATCCATAAAATGTAATGTTGAGGCAGAAAGCATGAGTTGCAGAATGAAAACGAGAAAACAGAGAGACGAACCTGTACTAGTGGAAGCAATTCCTCAGGAAGCGGACCACCCGAGTAACAGATGAACTCAAGGAAGACGTCCACGGCGCCTGGTTCGAGTCCTGGACGTAGAATAGCCTCGACCAGCTCATCCGTCACTTGCGTTCTATCATGGTAACACTATTTTTTGCAATCCACAATGAAGAATTTGACAGTAAGATAACATCGTTTTCCAACAGAAATTACCGGCATTCTTGAAGAGAATTACCTGGCGGAGAATATTTCTTACGGACTCGGGCGTAGCAACGCTTTTGAAGAATAATTTTCCAACAGGAGAGTTCCTAAAAACGATATAATATGTGTAATTATTAGCAGAGTAACTACAGTTTCTATAGCTTAGCTTTGTATTTCTGATGTATAAGCACGTGTATAGGTGAATGTATATTCAAACAGGGTATTGCAGAGCGAATACACACAGCAGAAATTTAACCAACTTTCCATCCCCTGTTTTTCCTACCCTTCTGCTTCTTTCCTGAGCTTTCTCAGCACTTTCTCGGGATCCAAACACATTTTTCGTTCGGATCTAAGACAATTCAACACCAGAGATCCACAGATGAAGAAACAAAAGGCGGGTCTGCCCAATCGTACCTTAGCAAATTCTGGAAAGACCTGATGAACGGCTTTGCGATAAACGGCTGTTTCTTGATGTGAAGCATTCGGAGTGATATGTTCAAAAGCATAAGTCCTTTGCATATCTGTGGCTTACTAACCGCTGCCTGAAGACCAACAAGCCCTACATGGACATATCAATCTTTTCTTACATCCTAAACAACCAGAATTGTATGTTTTTTTTTTGTGTTCTCATAAGAAAAAAAAAACGGGGAGAGTTTAACGTGACAGTTACCTCCGATGGAGTTGCATATAAAAAAGGCTTCGTCTTTGACAACATCTAGACAGAAATCATTGAGTTGGTCACCCCATGTCTCGAAGGTGTAAAAGGGTTTTCCTCCAAACTCACGAGGATTTGGTTTGCTCGAGTATCCATAACCAATAAGATCAATCGAGTATACCCTATGCGATTTCCCGAGAAAAGGAATATTCTTTCTCCAATGATCACTGAGAAAGAAAGAAAATGTGAGAACATCTACATATATCATAGATGAAAATGATGATAATGTCGAGATTACGGATCCTAAGAAAATACAATTTCCGAACTCTAAGCACCCATATGAACATAAGCTCGAAGCTTGTCAATAGATATAAACTTAGCTCAGAGTCTCAGACCGAGAAACGAGTGCCATGGTACCACCTTTTAGAATGTATATACGGTTTAGTCCGGATTGATTCGGTTTACATTGTATAAATACCAGTATTTGGTGATTGATTTGAACACAACACAGGGAGCTTCAGTTTCCTTTTATGAATTCTCTCTTCAATTTCAAAATGGTATAAACTGGATATACATTCTAATTCTACCATCTTCAATAGATATATATATATATATATATACACGAATGAGGAACACGGCAAATAAGAGAGAACTCAATGGAGAGATCAATGATCGTTTTAATACCTATGGCAAATAGTTGCCTGCTAATATGAAGCAAAAATGTTCAATGAGCTCGACCTGTTAGCACCGAAACCATGAACCAAGACCAATGCAGGTCCACTGTCCCCGGCACACTGATACCGTATCGAATAACCTCTCCAGTTCCATGTCCTGTAATGACCAACAAGGATTGAACCGTTGCAATAACAATCCCACATAACCATTATCCACTGTGTACCAACAAGAATCTCACATATCCATAAAAAGAAACCCTATCCAACTCTACCACCAATCATTCTTGCTAATTTGGGTTATGTTTTCTTGAACTATCAAAAAAACATAACTGCTGTTTTTTCACTTCAAACTAAGGATTCTAATCTGTCAAAAGGGAAAACATCAGAAACCCACAAGAAAAGGGTTCGAACAAATCTAAAAATGCTCGAACGACTAAATTTTCTAGTCTAATTTGGTCTCATACTCACAATAGATCTAATAATACATCAGACAGAAGCAGAAGCAGAAGCAGAAGCAGAAGCGGCATCGGTTACTCACAAGGTTCGAACTTGTGGCTCTTCAGACAAACTCTCCTCTCCGACCGGTGAACCTCCGACAGAAGAAGAAGCCTCGTCGGTGAGCGAAGAACATGAGACGAGCCCAACTGATCTGGACATTGGAAATCTGATAATGCTCGAACGAATCGCTGGTTTGACAACATGGGCCTCACTGAATCTGATCGAAGGAGTGTTCTTGCGAAGAAGGGTTCGTCGGGAGACGAAAAGCGAAGAGATTTCGAGACTTGAGAAGGATAGAGCGAGGGAACTACTGGTGGTCGCCATCGCCATGGATGGATCCTCTCGGTTTCAAAGCTTTGAAATTGAAGATTCTTCATCGACGACAATTTCTTGTTTCGCCTATAGTGATTTTAGAGTTCAAACGTTGCCAAGTGTTCCGCTTTGGACCAACGAGATTGAATTTGGACTCGAGCCCAGTTCACTGAAAATTATTATTGCTTTTTTATTTATAATTTCACCGATCGGTTTCCCTAATTTAAAATTGTCTAATTATCTTTGAAAAGTTTATTTTTGGTTAAATTATCTTTGAAAAGTTTTATTAGATCACTCGGTCGCTTTTCATTTTCAAGAAATCTAATTATAATTTCATTTTGATGAAAAATTATAATTACAAAGAAAAATATCCTAATTTGGATCGTTTTATCTCTTTTCAATTAAGAATTATGAATGTTTTTTCATGATAAAGAGAAACTTTTGCTTAACAATAAATAAAATCTTTCGACTATTTCGCCAATAGTTCGAAGATTTTTCAATATAAAATTTACAATTTGCTATTTAGTAGAGATGTTGCAAAAAAAAATGTCTAACTCCCATAATTTATCATGAAAAATCGTTCCATAGATCATCCTCATTGTTACAAGATCATTTTTTTTTAATAAAAACCGAACCGTCAAAATTTATGTGAAACCAAATTGGTTATTCTAACATTTTGATGAAATATTTAAAATTTTCATGGAACGGGATTGAGGGCAAAAGGGCATAGAAAAGATGGCATGTGTGAAAGGGTGCCTTGACAAAGAAGCAAAGTGTCTATTACATACCCTAGAAACCAAAACCCTAGCAGTTCAGAAGAAGATGAAGGAGATGACAATGAAGAGCAGAGCAAAAAAAAAGGACAGCAGAAGCGACAATGCCAAACGCTTCAAAACTGTTCAATTGATCTTCTCTGTGTTTGTGTCATCTGAAGGCCATATCACAGTTTCCATCAGCCGTTCCCTCATCAGTTCCAAGTTCTCATCTGATATCTGCTGGTAGATCTTTCCATGGTCGCATTTCTGCAAAACCCGAGCCAGAAAAAAACGGAGTTTAAGACGGATTCTAGATTCCCAAGAGATTGGAAGTTGGATCGCGAAGATCACGGGAGGAATACCTTGATCCACTTGCTGTATAAGTGGAGACGAGTGATCATCACTCTTTCTGCCAGCTCCTGCCTCTCCTACAAGTAGTAGAGAAATGATAAAAGAAATTCATTGTTATGAATGCTATATTCATACATCAAGACAAAAAAGTAATCTGAACCCGAGATGTTGATCGAAAAAAGATATCTTTCCTTCCCCTAGCGACGAAATTCCATCCAAGAATATATGTTCCAGTATTTTTTTTTCAGGTGTTCATTGGATATGGTTTTTATCAACATCTTTGTTTGGGATCGACCGTAGGAATTCTTTATTTCCATTCATTCCGATTTTGGGTTAAATCTTTGAAGATTTGTAATCACTTCAAATTATTACTAATGATCCGTTTCCAAGGATATGGCTCTTATCATTATCAGAAAGGAGAATCAAAGGCATCAAAACCGAAAACCGATTAAATCTCTAACTAGGGCAATAAACCAAACATGTTTGTTGCCCCGAATACATTGAATACCTTGCCTAGGGAGCGGAGGAAACGCTTGCCATCGATTTCGGTTGGTTTGTTCACTACAAGGAAACTGTCATCAAGAGAATAAACATAAGAAGAGGCTGTTTATAAGACAGTATTAAGGCCAATATTTCATAGTTCTGTTACCAACTCCAAGTTAAAGGCACTAAAGCCGATATGTGAAACTGAAAACATTCACAAACAGAAAAGGCAAAGACTCGAGGGGTTCGATGCCAAAGAAAAAACTTACTTATAAAACCACGTATACGAAGGAGGGTTCATCTCATAGAGCTGGTTAAGAACCGTCCTCACAGCTTTGTACGTGAAATAATTGAGAATTTGCTGCAGAAAAAAGAAGAAGAAGAAATTCATTAAGAAAAAAAAACGAACAACCACAACACAAAATTTCAAGAACTTCATATACTTTGTCCTTTCACAGTACAGAAGTCAACCAATCATTAATGCAGATATAGATATATATATATATGTATGTATGTGTTTATATATAACTCCTTCCACAGAAATACTTGTAGATCAGATTACATATAGAAGAAAATTCACTTGCATTACTTAATACTTAGAGGTATCAACAATGGAAGATCACTCTTGGTATTTCACCTGTCAATTCAGTTTAGCCCTAAAGCTAAGGCACCTATCAAGAATCAGCAAACTTATCATGTCTTAAACACAGCCTAAGACTCAAAACTAATGTCTAATGCAACATTAACATATCAAAGGGTATCGATGAACACGAAAACAGAGCCCCAACACATGAAACCAGAGCATCAATGAGCAAGTAAAAGAAGAGAATCTCACCGCTTTGACATCATCAAAGCTGTCTTCGTATTGGCCAGCAAGCTCACTAACAACCACAAGCCTCTTGTTCTTGCTCTGTTGCTTCCTCGAGCTTCTCCGATTGGAAGAAAAAACCGATATTCGTTTCGAAAACCTCAATCCCACGCTAGAATCGATAAAAGAGCCTCTTAGTTCGAGATTTCTTGCCCTAACAAGATTTTTCTTCTTCATGGAGCTCCTAATTTGACCAGTCTTATGAGCATCCAGACATGAACATGGACTTGTCGCTGAGTCCATCACCGATGAACCAACCACCGACAAAGCACCACCCACCATCACTGCCCCAAATCTTTTTTTTTTTCTGACAAGACCCAGATCGAGATTCGAGTCTGATTAGCTTTTTCCCCAAAATTCAGACGATAATCCAAGGAATCAAGCGATTCCCAGCCGAAGAGGAATATCAACGAACACTTGGTGGGTATCCAAGCAATGGAAGATTAACAAACACTTGAAATCTGGGCAAATCAATGTGAATGAGAAAAGCTCGTCTTCTATGACAAAACAAGGACAACATTTTTAGGGTAGTCAGATGGTTGGCGAAGGATCGTTGAATCCTAACCAGAAAAAATTCGAGAGGTCTGAAATTTCCCAATCGACATAAGCGAAGACAAATTTGGAAAGCGCTTCGGCTTTACGTGGAAGGTGTGGCAGTGTATTTCCCTGTCGTCTTGTGAGAATCTTCTTGCATGTGGTTACGTGGTCTAACAAAAAACATACAATTTGACAGCGGAATCAGCGGTAACTACTTGCAAGATTCCAACTTTATGGCCCTTCAGACAAACCCATCGAACATGGCGACGAACCCAATTGAAAAACACATCGAAAATCGATAAAACTGACAGTTTGAGACTGTGGGTCTTTCGCTGAAATTGAGTATAGAAACGTCCTTGAGATTTGCCATGGGCAGCCATGGATTTGCAGTTTGAAAGCTTCGAACTCTGAGACTTTCAGTTATTTCGAGTGTGAATAGACGAAGGCTACCAGATGATATATATACCCTTTTGTCCAATCGATGGCGCCCTAGTTTCTAATTTTAGATATTATAAAAGTAGAAAAACAACAATTATCACGAACGATTTTCCACGAGTTATATTAGATAATTCATCGAAGTCTTTTGATTCTGATACAAAATCTCGTAATAATACATATGAACAGGAAAGGGGGAAAAACATGATGACTTCACTGCATCTTAACTATGTCTATGTCTCGAGCCACGTCAATGTCCCAACGATCAATAACCTGCCCGGCAATTCTCCAGCCGACGGCGCCAGATACGTTATTTTCTTCCTCTGCACGTCGACTTCGGTGACATACACAAATCCAGCAACATTGCTGCAAGAAACAGATACCAGTCCCAGAAGCAAACGCAACGGTAAGAATAATTCTTCCCGATCAATTTTTCATTTTCATGCCCTTCGATGCGAATGATATGATTATAGAAACGGGTTCAAAGCCCTATTGAAAAGGGATTAATTACCTCGATATTATTTGGTCGGGTTCTTGAGCATAAGAGATGGCAAGAACGGTATGTAGCAGGTCTCGGTCGATGTTTACTGGCGCTATCCTCAACGGGTTGGAAACCGGGTCAGAGCCTATTGGAAGGGCGGATCTAGGAGCCTGTGGGCCGCCACCGATACGGTAGACTTGTATATGGTTGAAATCGGAGGTATGGGCATGCGGGGAGAGATCGTTGGTAAGGCCGTAGAAGTATTCCTGAGAATCAAAGGCGAGAACAGAGCGTGAATTGGAAAGGACGTGAAAGCGGCAATAGATTAGATGCAAAAATTTGGAAAAATTTTGTTACCCGAATCCTATAACTCCTTGATTTTTGACGAACTTTCACATTCCTGGAGACGACTCCACCGGATCTTTGAAGCTTAACGACATCCACATTACCCTTTGTTTTCAGAACATCCTTGAGCATGCTGAAGAGTTTTTCCTGACAACGGAAGAGCAAATGATCAAAAAGAACAATGAAGGGAAGAACTAGAACAGCAGAGGAAACTGGTATGGAATGAAAAGGACTTAGAGTTTAATGCAAGTTTCTTTTCGGTTTTAGCTTCAACAAAGCAGATTTGGAAATAATAATGCATACCTGACCCAATACAAGAACAACAGAGACACTGAAGGTCTCAATGGCATGGAGAAGCAGCTGCGAGATAAACATGGAGACCGATTCAGGGAATTTAACATTAATATGGCTAAAGTTTCTCTAGGAAAATGCAAGTAACTAGAATGTAACCTCATAACCAACACCCTCGATCCATCCCATCGTGTTGATCACCATTCCGGAAGCTTGGGATTCAGCATTTCTGCTAATCTGTTTCTCCAGCACTTGGGCAAGCTCTTTGACAAGAGCTTTGTACAGTTCAACATTGTTACTGCAAGCATCATAAATAAAGTTCAAACATAAGTTCAAGATGATATGTTGCAACACTGAGACGCGGCGAATAAAAATTTAAAATGAGTTACCTCGGTGTTGTGTGGCCATAGTAATACACGAGCGACATATCCAGAGGAATTCCTTCAACCGGGTCTATTGGCATCTCAATAGGAGAAGCAGCAATACAACCGGGTATTGTTATTGAGCCTTGGCCAACATCGAGATCCACAAAGGTAGGCTTTGAGCCCCGTTTAGCAGCCCAACTAAGAAGCATCTTTGCCAATGTGCTTTTCCCCGAGTCTGTAGGCCCCACTACTATAACCCGTGGTCCCTACGTCAAACAAATTCGCAGCTACGTGTTTAGGGCTAGTACTAAACTCGGCATTGAAATTACATAACAGAAAACAACGGTTCAGCTCATTCATTATGAAGAGGAGGAAGTACTTGGGAAGATTCTGAATCATTGGATGATGAATCTTTGGCACGCCGTCTTCGGGCATCTAGAATGGCATGGACATTGACATAGCTGACCATGGGTGTCTGATAACCATGATGTTATTGCTGTAAGAATTGAATTCCAAATTTATTATCTAAAATAAAATGGAGATAAGACCAAACCATACCTCATCTGCCGTATAGTCTGTTTCTGTGGGACCATCCATCTCTATTGTAGCTCCATACCAAGTGAAAACCTGAATATCCAACACATGTTCTTCAGCATTTAGTAGAGATGTTGCAAAAAAAAATGTCTAACTCCCATAATTTATCATGAAAAATCGTTCCATAGATCATCCTCCAACAAAACATACAGAAGGATCTCACATTAACGCAAGATGATAAACACCCGTGTTCTAATGCTGATCTGTCTGTCTAAGCAAAAATCTGATAAAATCTCAACATGACAATTTCATTGGCAACAACTAACATTCTCTTCAAACAACAGATTCTTTCCGAGAAGGATGGATCTTTCTACAACCAAACCCAGAAACAATCAAAGGATGGAGACCAAAAGGTTGAAACTTTGATTAGCGCATCCCAGAAATTAGCCACAATTCAAACCCAATACCAGTACAAAAAATAACAGCAATTGAAGAACCAATCTAAATAAATTATAAAACTATGCCACAAATAAGCTCAAAGCACACAGAACAAGAAAAAAATCAAATTTTGTCTAATACAAAGTCAAAATAAAGAGAAACAATTGCAATACATCAGACATGCCAACAATTCTTAAAACAAAAAATCCCATAAGCACTGAATTGGTAAGACTTACAGCGAATTTCAGCCGAGGAGGGAAGGTGAGCCAGATTTCCGGTGGAAGCTCAGAGCCAAAGATCTCTGCCGTACCATTGAGCACACGTAGCCTGAGAGGGGCATTGTTGGATACTTCAATTCTAAGCTCGCTTTCTTTATCTAATGTCACCTGTTTTAACTGAGAACTAGCACTGCTCATAGCTGCTGAATTCGTCGATGGACCACCATAGGCCATTGTGTCTCCCCTGCAGGAAAAGTCGGTCACTTTCGCCTCAAAAGCCACAGACTTGACTCTGCCAGAGAAAATAGAGAGACAAAAATTAGATTAGACACAGAGTTCTGTTTTACTTTCTTTGTTTTATGTTGTCTTGCAAGGTATATAAACTTACATATGTAAACATCAGCCTAAAGAAAAAGGAAATGCGGTCCTGTAAAAACTGGGAGATGAAGGGTATGATTAAAAAAAAAATACGAGTTATAGATGAAATTTAGTAGTGTTAGAGCCTTAACTCGTCGATAACCCGAAAATGTCACGGATCACGAGTTTTGGAATTCGGGACTAATAACATAATATCAGATACCAAACCCAATGGATAACTCTGCAGAATTATACCTCTCTTCCATATATATTCCAATACCCAGATTGAAGCCATTCTCATAATTGAGCATTAGATTCCCAAGAGCGGAAAGTCTAAGCACTCGGTACTCGCACAACCTCGATCAATCAATCCTTTTTATACCAAAAGACTCCATTTTTTATCCAGTGCATACGATGGATAACTCAACTGAAAACTGAGCTTTTCCAAATACACATAAGAACAGCATGAACTGTGGAGACAAATCATTAAGAGTTTGATGTTATGATGTCAAACTGCTGCTTTTTGTAAATCATTAAATAAAGTGACACCGATAATCCAATATGCTGGGAATTTCAATAGCGAAGCAACTTAAACCCTAAATTAGAGGAAAACAAACGAAAACTACTGACAAATCATCTTCCAAAGCAAGACATGAACCCAAAAACTAAGAAACCCAGTTCGAAACCCAGCAACTAAACTCATTTCTGAATTTCATAGAATCTTCCATTGTCCGAAATTCATCATAGCAGAAGAAGCCCAAGAAACAGAAATTCCAAGAAGCTCCTAGATTCGCAGCAGGTCGAAGCAGAGAGGCAACACATATCTAAGACTGAGACAGATCAGGTAAGGGAGAGAGATGGAGAGAGAGAGAGAGAGCTCACATGAACCATAAAGGGAAGCGGCGGCGATGACGACGGACGAGAGAGAAAAAGAAAAGAAGTGCCTTTTATTTTTGGGGCAATTACTTACCAGAGAAAAACTTTTTAAATATAAAAGGTTTAAAAACACTTTTGAAATCTATAAATTAAATTGTTGTAATTATATATAAAATGTTGTAATTGTATAGCAAATTATGTGGATTTATTTCGCTAATTATGTTCATAAAACAATATAATGCCAAGATCCTCTCTTTTTTTCGTGTATCGCTGAAATTAAGGCCACAACATTCATTTGCCTCTGTAATTGGTCAACCAGACAAGCTGAGGCGAACGCTCGATTCCTCCACCGAGATCATCAATGGCGAAGAAAGCCATTGACCCAACTTCGATGACCAGAAACGAAACCCTAGTTTTGAAATACGCCGTGATCTCACGAATTCTCGTTCTGGGTCTGACCCTTTTGTGGCGTAGCTTCCTCGAACCGTACGACACCTCCGCCGCCGTCGACCCGCCTTGCCTCCGCCCCAACGAGATCGCCGGAGATTATCCTCCGCCGAAGTTTGCGGCGGCGGCGAAGATCCTCGAAAACGGCATCGTTTGGGACAGTGTGTATTTCGTTCGCATCGCTCAGTGCGGATATGAGTACGAGCAGACTTACGCCTTCTTGCCTCTGCTTCCGTTCTGCATCTCGGTTTTGTCCCGTTCAGGTTTCAAATTCGATCGATTTCCGCACTTTCTTTTTAAATTTCTTACTATTTTCTCGGATTGTGATTGATGAGAAAATGGGTTCTTCTGGTTTTTCAGTTTTTGCGCCTTTGGTTCCTGTGATCGGACTCAGAGCTGTCATGGCGTTGTGTGGTTATGTTGTCAGCAACTTGGCGTTCTTACTTGCAGCAATTTATCTATTCAGGTATTCTTGATGTTATTGCATTGTTCGATCTCCCATTTTTTCCTTGAAATCTCTTTGCTTCCATTGATTATGTGTTCGAAAGCTGCAATTTTTAACATGAAAATTCGACATTGGAATGGCTTACCATTGAAATGCATTATCCTTTGGTTGCTGTGAAATGGTTCTGACTATGTAAATATGAAATCAATCGTATTTCAGTGGAAATTGTCATGAGGCCATGATTCTTGATCATCTTTGTTGAGGAGTGTTGTATTTAGACAGCAGTTAAAAGTTGTAGTATATGTGTCAGTAACTGATGTTTTGTTTGTTGCTTTCGGTTTAGAAATGTCTTACGCCAGTCCTTGCTAACAGGCTTTCAGTTATTATCTTGAAGGACCCTGAAGCGGCATTAAGAGCCTCGATCTTGTTCTGTTTCAACCCAGCTTCCATATTTTATTCATCAATGTAATGTACTCAAGCAATGTTCTCAATTCATTTTCTGAATTTTTATAGAAAGTACATAATCATCGGACTATGAACCGGAATATTTCTTTGTGATTGTCAGATACTCGGAAAGTTTATATGCTCTCTTTTCAATCGGAGGAGTGTATCATCTAATATCCGGTACCAGCAGTATAGCCGTTTTTTGGTTCGCTCTCTCTGGCTTTGCAAGGTCCAACGGAGTTCTTAATGCTGGTTATATCTGTTTCCGGACGATGCATCGAGCATATGATGCTCTGTATATGAAAAGGCGTATTCATGTGAGTAATGCTCTCGAGAAATATTAATTTTTATAAGTAATCATGGGTTTATGATTTTAGTAACTTTTTAAGTTCTGCTACTTGGTCTGGTGGTGCAATCTATTGAATATCGAAACTCGTATCTTTAATACCCTTTGTAATTTTTTTTCTCTCGACTAGTTGGTTGTGCAGGTTGTTATAACTGGGTTTCTTCAATGTGTATGCATTTGTCTTCCTTTCGTCGCTTTTCAAGCATATGGATATTATAACATCTGCCATGGACGTAACCGAGATGAAGTTAGGCCTTGGTGCAAAGCAAGGGTGCCTCTTCTGTACAATTTCATTCAAAGTCATTATTGGTATGTTTGAAGAGAAATACTTTCTTCTTTTTGACGTTGGGTTTTCAGCATTACCTTCTTGCATTGACGATGCTCATTTTGACAGGGGAGTAGGTTTTCTTAGGTACTTCCAATTCAAACAGCTCCCAAATTTTCTTCTCGCGTCCCCAATTCTATCGCTTGCTGTCTGCTCGATATTGAGTTATGTGAAGTCACGGCCTGAGCTCTTCCTTTCGTTGGGTTTTCAAGCTTCCAATGAAGAGAAGAGATCTACATCAAGGCTTTTCTATCTGGAGGATATTGCTGAATCTGAAGTTACCCGATCTCCTGGGAAAACTTCGTCAAATATGGGTACTTTTTTTTCATTTCTATGGGGGTTCTGAAAGATATTACTTTCCAAGATCTCGTCTTCGAGCTTGTCATTTTGCTGTATCATGTTTTTTTGTAAGGATCAAATTGATGGATCTTTTTAATTATATTGAGTAGGGAATCACGATATTAGGCAGCGAAAGCCTAGCAGAGCGAGGGATGCGCCTGCAGAACCCAAAGCACCCGAAAATTTCGGCTTTTTATCAGCTGCTGTTTTCCCATTTGTCGTACACTTGGGTTTATTGACGGCCACGGCTTTCTTCGTCATGCATGTGCAGGTTAACTCCTCCTCGAACTCCTTTCTTTGCTTTGCAAAATCTGTTACCTGGTTTTGCTTCTGCCTAAATGGCAGAATATCGGGCTTTTCTGTTTCACATTTAGAAATATAGCTTACTTCCCGATAATGTATCGGGAATTTCCTAGAAAAACTCTCTAGTAGAACTGCAAATCGTTGGATTCTGTCTAAAGAACGTAAGAGTGGATATAAATATCGAATGTTTTAAAAATTCTCTGCGGTGTTTTTGCAGGTTGCAACACGGTTCTTGTCAGCAAGCCCTCCTCTTTACTGGTTCGCCTCGTATTTGATGGCGGCTCCTAAACATCGAAGATGGGGTTACATGATATGGACATATTGTGCAGCGTATATCCTTCTCGGCAGTCTCCTCTTCTCAAACTTCTACCCGTTCACGTGACGGGAATGGAGATTAGACTCGAGAAAAATGTTAAGCTTTCAGGTAACTTGCTCAGCTTTATCATTCACCTTTCCCTTCCATCTTCACAAGATCACACTGAATAATCCGAGCTTTTTTGCAAAACCCTAAACTCTAAACCCTAAACCGGGAGATAACCCGAGAGGTCGTTCTCCATTATCCCGACCTTGAGACCTGAGTCTTCGGAAAACTGTGGCGGTGTATCTGGTTAAATGTTTAGCCATTGTTTTGTTCTCTTCAGCTGAGGTTAGAACATGTTCTATGGCTGTCTGTATCAATGATGTTTCTGGGGGGGAAAATTACTTGATGTAGTAATTCTTATGCTTTTCTAATGTTATATTTTTTAAAATATTTTAGAATATACAATTATTAATGTGTGTATTGGATTTGGTGATTTTAGTTATTGGAGGATTTTGTGGAGGTTTCTAAATAAATAACAATTCAGTAAATTTCATAAACTACAAAAATTTAGAAAAGTAATCCAAAATTATAAATTTGCATTTATGCTCTTTAAATTTCTTAAAAAGAATTGCTGCTTTCTTTAGCTTATTGGCCTGGGGTTGCTATTATGGCATTACCAAGTCACGAGTTCGAAAAGCGGCATTGACGTTGGCCATTGTTGTTGTTGTTCTGTTCTCTCGCAAAAGAGGTATTTTAAAATACCTTATTTTTATTTTTAAATACAAAGAAAATTATTAATTTTATTTTTGTAAAATAAAATTTGAAATATAAATACACACACACACAACAACAACGAACGTCGTTTTTTTAAATATAAGCAAGGGCATGTATACTATAGGAAAATGCTTCGTATGATAGTGCTAGTGAAAAAAGGAAATGAATAAACATTTTTTAAAAAAAAATAAGTAAATTGATGTCAATAATTTTTTAAAAATTTTAAATAGCCTTTTTAAACTGAATATCATTATAACTGCACATATAATTCACAGATTGTTAAAGAGAATTGACTAAAAAATCATGAATTTAAAAAAAAAAAACATTATATAAAATTATAAATATTAATATATCTCCACATATATATTAATTTTACAAATTTTGTAACTTTCATATAAAATTATATAAAAAAAATATAAATGTTGTGGAAGTATGATATGATTAAAATATAATTTTATATGAAACTTTTGAAAGGTGGTTGAATTTTTAGGCAATTCACCCTAATTTTTAATATCAATTCAATGTATCATCTTCATCTGTTGCCCTGCCAAAACGAAAACCCTCGTAAGCCGAAAGGATAAAGCAACTGGCATCGACATTAAACGCACCGTTTTGGCGCTCTCTTTCTTCTTCGGCGACTCTGCCAAACCCTAGGATCTCTCTCTCTCTCTCTCTCTCTCTCTCTCTCTCTCTCTCTCTCTCCCCCTTCGGTTGCTGTGGAATCCAGGTAACTGAGAGAACTATTACAGTATAGATTTAGTTAGGGTTTTCAATTCTGAATTCAGAAGCGTTGATAAATGTTGTTCTACCGCTGCAAACTAGACCTTGGTTGTTCTTTTTTGAACCATTTTCTGGGTTATTTTCTTCTTCGAAGATTCTTTGCGTGGGAAAGGCCAAATGCTTGTGTAAAAATCTACCATTTAACTATCTGCTGAGTTTACCCATTTGATTGATTGTAATCAGATCCATGTTTTCCGGGTTTCCGATACTCGTGATGTTGATCGGATTCTGTTTAGTCCTTCGTCAAAGAATTACGCTTTCTGGGTTTAGGGTTTAAGGTAGTTAAGTCTTTGTTTGTCTGTTCATTGCATTGCGTTTGACATTTGTACTAATACATCCCTTATCCTTAAGATTGATACCTCATCACGAAACATGATGGAAGATTGCGATGGGTTCTTATGAAGTTTCGATTGGTAATGTTTTTTTTTTGGGCTTTGTGTGGCAGGCATTTGAAGCAAGGAGTGAATAAGTAGACTAGCCTGGTGTTTTCCATTTCAGCCTTAGAAGACAAAAGATGTCTTCTACTGCATCTACTAGCGGTGTGAAGTTCTCGATGTTTGGTGCAAAGTCTGGATTCGTTATTCCTAAAAACAAGTTATCTGGTTCACTCGTTCCAACATTCCAAGGCGGGAAAACCCAGGGAGGTGGAAATGCAGGGAATGAGCATAACACAAAGCAGGAACAAAGAAAAACTAAATGGGGACCTGATCTTACACAAGATACATCAGTTAAGAAGGGAAGGGCTTTGGCTTACCAGGTACACTTGGACAATGGCTCGTGTACTTTTGGCTAAAATATCACTTCAAATTTTGCTTCATTCATCCAAAATGCTTCGGTATAAATATGCATAGACATGGAGTGGATGAGTAATGACGTGATATTTTGTTATGGTATGGTGGTTCTTTGAGTTCTATTCGGTTGTTAACTTAAGGCAATGGTCATCGTAAGCTTTTTCATTTGGATGGTTTCCCATGGATAAGTACCTCTTACACACCCACTGTAGTTGCTGAAACTAAATGTTATGTTGAAGTGTGACTGCTTCTAGGTCTAGCCCTAGTATCGGCGACAAGATATTATAAATTATAAGTTTCCTGTTACACATTTGGTACTAAACTCTAAGTGGCATCTATATGAATGGCTCAAAATGGAAACTTCCCATGCCAGGTACTTTTAAGTGATATACTACCTGTTTGGTGGTACCAATTTTGAGCAGAAACGTGTGTATCAAATCACACAGCAATTGGAATCTGGAACTCTTGAAGTGGAGACTAGTCGAGCTTCAGCTTTAGCCTCACAAAATACTGCTGGTAGGTCATTGGATTCACAGAACAATGATGAGGTCAGTGATATTCTATACCTTTTATTTTCATTTTTGGCTTCAATTCTCTAGTTGGCTAAGCCAAGTATTTATTATCTACTATTTGGATTTGCGGACCCAGATGGTGGAACACTTGGAGTTAGAAAGGCGTGAAGCCATTGGTATGCTCTGTAAATTTTTGCAACTGAATTCTCCTCCTTCACTGTATTCATTTTTCTCTGTAGCTTTGACTGACATTCTAGTCGCTTCACTTCTAGGTGAGATACTCAAGTTGAATCCAAGGTACAAGGCTCCACCAGATTATAAGCCTTTGATGAGAGAAGCTAGAGTTCCAATTCCGGTAAGCCCTTTGAGAGGTGGTCATTTAGTTACTTCTCCAAATCTTAACCTTTCCTGATTAGTTCAGGAAGAATCATATTGATATGGTTTGAAGATAGTTCATGCTATATCTTGAGAGAGATATCGGAACTGAAGTCAAACAGAGGAAAGGCATTGCGATTTCCGTTTGAAACCTTGTCAAGAATGGCAACACTTTCTGTTGTTGTTCAAGCTTAGCTTTTAGTGTAACTGTTTTTATAGCTTATTACCTGAACTCAAACCGGTCATTTTTTATTTTTATTTTTTGTAGATTTGTGACAAATCAATTTTTTGTATAGTCTGATATGAATCATATGATACGAATCTGTATATTTTCAGGTTAAAGAACATCCTGATTTCAACTTTCTAAATCTCATATTTGGTTCCCAGGGTGAGACCCAGAAGCGGCTTGAAAAAGTAATTCTGTATATATCATCATTATATCCTTCTGGAGTTCTTCAATTTGATGCTTTACGGGTTTTTTTTTTAAATGGGAATAGGAAACCGGAGCCAAAATTCAGATTTTTGGTGCTAAGACAGGTGGAGAGAAGGTAATTATTGAATTAGACTACTGTATTCATCACAAGTGTTCTCGTGCTTACTTGATATTATTGCTTAGCCTCAAATTTTACAAGTTTCAGTATTTGTGTTTTCATCAGAGCTTTCTTTCATCATGCAGGTTGAAATCTCTTCTACTGGTGGGAATGAGATCCAGACTGCATGGGAAGAATTATACTTTAAAATATCTGCTGACACTTATGAAAAGGTTGATGCAGCTATTACTGTAATTGAGCTGCTAATCACTTCGGTGTCGGTGAGTTTCACATTCACTAAACTTTTATAAGAAAGCTATATTTACGGTATGACATTTATCGTTCAAAGCTTTTGTTTCCGACATGATTCTCAGGGATGGCATAATCGATTATATACTTCTCGTGTA